AATAGGTTCTAAAATCAGGTAGTGTGAGGCCTCCCATTTTCTTCTGCTCCTTCAGTAATGCTTCACTTATCTGAAGCCTCTTCCCTTTCCATATGAAGTTGGTGATTTGTTTCTCCATCTCATTAAAAAATGCCATTGGAATTTGGATCAGGATTGCATTGTATCCGTAGATCACTTTGGGTTCATTATTATTATTCTTGCAACTTTTTCATAGCTTCAAAATTTTTCAAAAGAAAAAGCTGGGAAAAACAAACAAACCACCCTCACTCCTTCCCATATGTTCCTCCAGCTGTCATCCTCTCACCTTCCATGCACACAAAGATTCCTCGGAGGAGTCTATGCTCACTGTCCCTGTGTTCGCAACCAGTGCTGTGCCAGTAAATGTTTAAAAACTGGCTCTCTAAACCAACCAACCAAGCTAAAAAGTCCTGATTTGTAATATTTGCCGATTCCCATGGTGTAAACATTCCCACCATGGCCGATTTCAAGCTACCAACGTGACATCACTGAAGGTGGAATTGGGAAGAGATGTGCAATAGCTCATCCTGATTCACTATTCCCACCATACAGATATGATAGATGTAAATAACCTCAAGAGTGCAAAATAATTAGGAAGTGATGACTTCTGAGTATTTACTTTTGTTTTTAATATAACCTACTTGATTGCTGCTGTTGTTGTTGTTAATTGCCATCAAGTCAGCTCTGACTCACAGTGACCTTACGTATAACAATAAAATGTTGCCTGGTTCTACGCCATCTTCACGATTGTTGGTATGCTTGAGTCCATTATAACCACTGTGTATTCTGAGTGCCTTCTAATGTAGGGGGCTCATCGTCCAGCACTATATCGGATAATGTTCTGTTGTGATCCATAAGGTTTTCATTGGCTGATTTTCAGAAGTAGATCGCCAGCCTCTATCGTATTCTGGAAGCTCCACGGAAACCTGACCACCATCGGTGATCCTGCTGGTATTTGAAATAGTGGTGGCACAGCTTCTAGCATCATAGCAACACCCAAGTCACCACAGCATGACAAACTGACAGACAGTGGAAGAATTGATCATATGTTTATGTAATTAGTTTTTTTTTTTTTTTTTAATGGCTGTATTTGGCAACTGGCTCACAAAATTCTTGAAAATCTGACAGCCGGCTCTTGTAAGCTGGTATAAGCTGGCTCCAACACACCTCTATAAAAATCTCAACCCACCAAAATCTGGCTTCCAGCTCCACCATTCAGCCAAAACCCTTTTTGCTCAAGTTACTAAAAAAAAAAAAAAAAAAATTTCCATCGAGTCAATTCCGACTCATAGCAACCCTATAGGACAGAGTAGAACTGCCCCATAGGGTTTCCAAGGAGCAGCTGGTGGATTCGAACTACCAACCTTTTGGTTAGCAGCCAAGCTCCTAACCACTGCACCATCAGGGCTCCACTCGTGTTACTAAGGACCTCCATATTACACAATGCGAAAGACAATGGACACAGTTTTGTCCTTGCCTTGGCTGACGTCTTTGTAGCATTGAGCACTGCTGACTTCACCTGCCTTCTCAAAAGGCCCTCCAGGCCCTCTTCCTAACTCTTGGCCGGTCCTGCCCAATCTCCTTTAAGGGCTCTTCTTCCTCTACTTTATCTTTGGGCTTTTATTATGCTCCTTCAACACACTCTCCCTGGGGTGCCCTTGTCCAACTCTAGGGTTTCAACTACAACCAAGAAACTGTATGTCTGGCCCACCTCTCAGCTGCAAACTTGTGTATCCCAACCACTTAGCCAGTTTTCTCCTCTTGAAGGTTCCACAGACATCTCAAAGCCAGAGTGGAGGCCCTCACTCCCTACTCCCATCTCAAGGAGGAGATCCTGAGATCCAGAGAATGCAGGTCTGTCTGATTCTGAAACCACGGAGTGCAAGCTCCCCAGTACCAACCTGCCTTCCTTCAATGAATGGAATCCCATAAGCCCATATTACCATTTTATAATGCAAAAGTCTTCAACAATATGGCAAATGCAACTTACATTAACTCCCTCACAGGGCCAGGCCCCTTGCATAAACCTCGTGGAACTCAGATTGCACGGCCATGTCAAAGTACTGCCACTTGGTGGCGGCATTCTCCAAATGGAAAATAGTGTCCTGGTGCAGAAATGGCAAAGACCTGAGCTGCTTCAAGGCAAGGCTGTGTCAGTTCACACAGAACTGATGGAGGAGTGGCCCGCTCCCAGCCTAGTCTCAGCTTCCACCTCCAGTTCTGGGCTTCAACCAACAACATCCTTCCCAAAGTGCTGTGCAAGATACTTCCTGTGGCTTGTGCCCAATCATCTGCCGGGGCACCTTCTGGAAGAGCTTGATGCTCTTGGTTAGGCTGATTCTGTCAGTTATTGTCATGTCTATCAGTTAGAATCCATCATGAGTGTCAGTCAATCTAGTCAACCAGTCAACCAGCCCTTCAGGCAGTCAGTCAGGCACCATCAGTCAATCAGAGACCATAACTGTCAGGTGATCACTCAGCCAATGCGAGCCAGAGTCAGGAGTCAGTTGAGACAGTCAGACAAATAGGGTCAGAGCTGGTCAGTTGGACAGTCAGTCAGATTCAGTCACTTCAGTTAAGAGTCAGCCAGAATCCTTAGTTGATGTCAGTTAGAGTCAGTCCTTCAGTCAGTCGGATAGTCACTGGAAAGGCAGGGTCAGAATCAGTCAGTTGGCATGTCAGTCATTATCAGTCTGTTGTCATCTGCCATCGAGTCAGCCCCTGACTCATGGTGACCCCATGCACAACAGGATTGGACTGTTGTGGTCTATACGGTTTCCACGGGCTAATTTTCAGAAATCAATTGCCAGGCCTTTCTTCCTAGTCTGTCTTATGAAACCTGGTCAGCATCATAGTAACATGCAAGCCTTCACGGACAGACAGGTGGTGGCTGCGCTGTCAGTCTAGTCAGTGGTCACTGGGTCAGTCACAGGCAGGCAGTCTTTTGGGATCAGTCCTTCATTCAGTCAGTCATTGGAAGACAGGGTCAGAGTCAACCAGTCAGCTTGTCAGTCATCATCACCCTAGTCAGCCATAAGTCAGTCAGTATAGTCAGTTGGTGAGTCGGTCAGTCACAGGCAGACAGGCGGTCAGTCGGGATCAGTCCTTTTGTCAGTCATTCAGACAAGTCACTGGAAGACAAGAGTCAGAGCCTGTCAGTCATCGTCAGTCGAGTTAGCCAGTCAGCCTAGTCAGACGGTCGTTGAGTCAATCGCTGGCCGGCCGTCATTCAGCCAGCAGGGAGCGATCCGTCAGTCATTGTCGGTCACAGTCAGTCAGCCAGTCAGCGTTATCAGTCGGTCTGTCGGTCACTCTCAGTCACTGTCAGGGAGAGCCAGAGTCAGTTTCTGCCGGGATGGTCCGCTGGTCGGTCAGTCAGAATCCAACTGACTACGTCCTGGTGGTCGGTCAGTCCGTCTGCACGTCCCTCAAACCACAAGAATCCTGCGCAATCTCTAAAGGAATCACCGCTCCCGACTAGCTCCCGACTAATTCCAAGTTCCAGGCCTCGCCCCCTTTTAGTCTTGTCCAATCACAGGTCTCTACCTCAGGCGTGCCCGCCCCCCGGGGCCACATCCTCCCTCTTCCGGGCCCTGCCCCTCTGTGGAGCCACGTCCAATCAGAGGCCTCTCCCTCTCTGAGACCCCGGCGGGCGCCATGGATGACGCCATCGGGCCTCGCCGGGGAAAGGTCACAGGGGCTCTTCCAACATGGCGGCGGCGGCGCTGCGGCAAAGCTGGTGCCGCTGCCCGCGGGTGAGCGGACGTGCGGGCAGGCGGGGCGGGCGCCTAAGGGGCTCCGGGTCCGCGGCCTCCAAGGCCTCTTTCTCCTCAGGTCCTTGGCTCCCGCGGCCCTTCCCTGGGCTCGGGCGAGAGGCTTGAGGTTGGGTCAGCCGAGGCCGGGGTCGAGGGGCCTGGGCGCGAGGACCGAGCGCTCTGGGCCGGGGGTGCGAGGCGCGCAGCCCGGCGGGGAGCAGATCGCCCCTCACCCCACGTGCTTGGGGTGGCTGCCGCCTGTTGAGAACAACTAGGCAAGGGAAGGCAAAGTGACAGTCATGTCTATCATTTATATACCAGGTCCTCTACCGAGAGCATTTCCTGCCTCCCTCTTGTTACCCTCACGTGAAAGTGCGGGAGGCGGTTCTCGCCATGGCCAAGAGCTTGGGCTCTTGAGTCCCTAGGGCGGTGGGACTCAGGGTGTGGAGAGCTCACTGAGAAAACAGCACTTCATGTTGCTGCTGCTTGTCCCTGTTTCAAGATTAGGAAACTAGAAACCTAGGCAGGTTGAGCAACCTGCCCACAGCTAGTGGGTAGCTGACCTGTTGCAAAGCCCAGGTCAGTCTGATGCCAGAGCTAAACTGTTAAAACTCGTAGGCTTCCTAGTGTGAGGAAAAGCAAGGTGTCTTTGACTCAGAACTGATTTTTTTTTTTTCTTGGCCGTTTGTCTTTTGATTCTGGGTTTAGAGGTTGAATTTACATTTGGCAGCCATCTGCTTATATTTTAGACCATCGCCGAAGTCAGTGGTCTGGGGTCTATGAGTGTAGATATATTGAGAAATAAAACGTTACAGTAACACCTGTGAAAGCCAGAACTTCTGTAAGGGGGAAACCTGCCAGAGAAGGAAAACTCAAATATTTTCCAGTAAAATGAGCTATAGAAAAGTGGTAAGGCTGTGCCCTGCCACAGGCGGAAAATTTGCAAGACCCAGAAAAGCAAAGCAGTCCTGACAAGTTTTGGCTGTCACAGGTTTCAATGTTTTTAAACTCTGAAGAGTGAGTCTCTCAAGTAGCTATAGGAGATAGTGGTTTGGCGTGTTCCTTGGGGTTCCCAGAGCTAGGAGGCAGGGAACATGGAGAGGAAAGGTCCTCTTGTACTTAGGTGCTGTCGAGTGGATTTCGACTCATAGCAACCCATGTGACGGAGTAGGACTACCCCATAGGGTTTTCTAGTCTGTAATCTTTACAAGAGCAGGTCGCCAGGTCTTTCTCCCATGGAGCCGCTGGGTGCGTTTGAACCACCAACCTTTCAGATAGCAGCCAAGCACTTAACCATTGTACCACCAAATGTGCAAATGGAAGAGTGGCTCTGTTGGGTCGTCTCACATCAGTGTGCCAGGCTGTGTGCTGGGTGATGGGGTGCAGTGTTGAACAGTACCCCCAGGCCCTTCCCTAACAGAGCTAAAGTTCATAAGTTGGTGGAAGAAGATGCCTTTCATGTGAGGTTTGCTGGGTCTTTGCCTAGTGTGACTCCCTTGTGATGCCTTGCTTGTGGCTCAACCCTTGACCAAGGCATTGTGAGTTTCTTCCAGGGCTGTGCCTGGGATGCTACGTTATCAGTGTTTGCCTCTGAAAGCCCATGTCTTCTGTTAGAGAAGACTGCTGGCCACCGGCATCAAGGCTCAGTGTGCCCTTTTTCAGACTGTGGGATTAAAATGAAACCCAAACCCATTGCAGCTGAGTTGATTCTGACTCATAGCCATCCTATGGGACAGAGTAGAAATACCCCATAGGGTTTCTAAGGCTGTAATGTTTACAGAAGCAGACTGCCACATCCTTTCTCCCGTGGAGCTGTTGGTGGGTTCAAACCACCAGTCTCTAGGTTAGCAGCCAAGCACTTAACCACTGTGCTACCAGGGTTGGCATATTAAACCACCACCACCCATCTGTCAGTTTGTCCTATTGTAGTAGCCAGTGTGATGCTAGGATGCTGGAAGCTATGCTACCAGTATTTCAAATACCAACAGGGTTACCCATGGTGAACTGGTTTTAGCAGACCTTCCAGACTAAGACAGACTAGGAAGAAGGGCCTGGCTTTCTGCTTCCGAAAACCAGCCAATGAAAACCCTATGGATCACAACAGAACGTCGTCCAATATAGTACTAAACAATGAGCCCCCTAGGTTAGAAGGCACTCAGAATGCACAGTGGCCACAACAATGAACTCAAGTATGTCAAAGATGATGAAGATGTCACAGAACCAGGCAGCATTTTGTTCTGTTGTACATAGGGTAGCCATGAGTCGAAGCCAACTTGATGGCAACCAACAGCTAAAAAAACCAAACCCATTGCCATTGAGTTGATTCTCACTCATAGCAACCCTATAGGACAGAGTAGAACTGCCCCATAGGGTTTCCAAGGAGCAGCTGGTGGGTTCGAACTGCTGACCTTTTGGTTAGCAGTCGAACTCTTAAACAGTGTACCACCAGGGAGCAACTGACAAAAACAACATATTTAACCGTCTTCCCCCATAGGTTGGCACATCCTGGGACCCATCCATTTTCCCCCAGGTTCAGAGGCAAGAGGGTAGATACAAGCCCAGGAGCTGAGGATGCGGTATTTTCTCTTTCTGCCAGATTCCACTGGCTTTGCAGACAGTGGGAAGATTGAAATGTATTCAGCGTGCAGCAGGCAGGCGATAGAAATCGGGGAATGAATCTCAGGCAGCCCTTTCTTTTTTAGGGTGGCATACCTTACCTTCCAGTCACCCTCTTGTTTTAATGGATCTTTCTTTTTTCTCCCCAATCAGAGATGCCTTGGGAATGGAGTCCAGTTTCTTGCCAGCCACAACCTACTGCCGCTGCCCCACGGATTGACCTGTCAGATACGCCGGCCAGGTGGAGAGCTGTCCCTGGTGAGTGGCTTGGGGTGTGAGCAAGCCGATGGTAGGGGAGATCTGAAAAGCCAGACTTTGTTGGCAGGAGAGAGACAAGGGTCATGGCAAGCATTCCACATCCGAGGCTTTCCGGTTACAGAGCCCAGCATGCTTGGGAAGCAGTCGACCAACTCTTGCTGGACGTCTTTAGGGACGAGGCACTCCTCCCTCACAAAGTGGCACCTTATGTTAGCTCTAATGGCTAGAAAAGCCATCCCTGTATTGAGCAGAAGTCCGCTTCCCTGAGGCTTTCCCCATGGGTCCCTCACCAAGCAAGGCTTCTCCCTTTTCCTGTGATAGTAGCCTTTTAGGCGTTTGAGCAGTCACCCATCATTCCCTAGGCTTCCCCAGGCTACGCCCCTCCTATCCGCTCAGTCTTCCTCCCAAGTAGTGTTTGCTAGAGTTTTTGGCCTCCTGGTCTCTCCCTGTGAACCGAGCTTCTGCTTGGGTCTCACCACCTGGAGGAGGGAAGCTGAGAGCTCTGCTCCCTTTCCCAAACCTGCGTGCTTGGGCTGCTTACACCCTCCTCCCCCTCTTCCCACAACAGAGTCTCGTCTCAGCAGCCTTATCTCAGACAGCTGCTACCTGCGCCTGCTTCACACGGGCGTTATCCTCCAGTCCAGTTCTGGGCTGCTTGTGGGCCTTTTCCCTTAGTTGTGTAGTCCCCCAGCACCCAAGATTTGCAGCCCCAGAGGATGTGGTAAGGCTGATGCAATGTGCTGCACCCCTAGATCGTCTTAGAACCTGGCTAAGCAGGTTGAATGGGACTGTGGCCTGCTGCTGCCCCACTCCTGGGAAGCAGCACCCAGGCTCAGGGCAGCTTGCCCTTATGGCTTGATGAACATCGAGAGTCCATCCTTCCTAAAGCTGGCAGAGTGACCCCAACTGCTGCGGCTGGGGATGCACCCATGGAAATGTTGGGAGGAGCCGACCACACATGGCTGTTTCCTGTGACATGACTCTGACAGTCCTCATTGTGTGGTTTCCCTTTTGAAGCCACTCGGTTACACACAGGGCAAAGCAGGGATTTGAACCTGGCTCTGCCTTCTCTGGAGCTGGTATCATCGAGCTGCGTGCAGTACGGGCTCTTGTGTCTGGAGCTGAGCCCCTGGATGTGGTGGGTTTTCCCAAGGGTGGGAACCCTGAGCTCGGGTTCCCTGCAGCCGAGCCTGTGGGCCCGGAGAGGGAGGACTGTGCCCGTCTCCCTTGAGTGACAGGTGGGTGCCACCTGGGGACCTGGAGTGGCCCCAGAGGAAGCAGATCTAGTGGGGGTGGGAGGAAGTTCTCCTAGCCCCAGAATCCCAGGGAGTCACCCTGTGCAGGGCCCTTGAGATTCAGAGGCCCAGAATCCTTCCAACTCCAGTTCCAGGCCTGGGGCCCCCTCTGGATATTGACCTTTGCCCTGGTGAATGTGAGTGTGTTTGAATTCCCATGAGGACTCCAAGCTGTGTCTAGGGTTTGTTTTTTTTTGTTTTTTTTTTTTTAAATAATGTTTCATTGTGCTTTTGGTGAAGGTTTACACAACAGTTTAGGTCCCTATTCAACAATTTCTACACAAATTGTTCAGTGACACTGGTTACATTCTTCACAATGTGTGAACATTCTTGTTTCTGTTTTGGTTGTTGCGTTTCCATTCATCTAGTTTCCCTGCCCCCTTACATTCTCATCTTTGTTTTAAAATAATTGTTGACCGATTGGTCTAATACAGATGATATTTTAAAAGGAGCACAGTACTTACGGGTGATATTTTTTGTGAGCCAATCTGTTATTTAGCTTAAAGGTGACCTCAGGCTAGTTTCGGTTCAAGGTTTAAAGAGTATCTCAGGGCAGTAGTCTCAGGGAATCCTCCAGTGTCATTTGGTTCAGTAAGTCTGCCTTTGTATTTTTGGTTGGGAATTTGAGGTTCTGTTCCACATTTTTCTGCCGTTCTATAAGGGTCCATCTCTTGTGGCCCTGAGCTGACCTGGTTCTTGTCCTCAGTGTTTCCTTTGTGGGAGAAGGAGCTTAGAGTTTTTTAAAATTTGTTGCTTACCATAATTACTATTGTAAAAAAGATAGTTATTCATCGTTAAACCTGTATCAACGGAAAGCAGAAAATGAAAACATCACTCATTGTCCCTCTGTGCTCACCAGTTTTCTTTCTAACTTTTTCTTTTACATTCTTTTCAGTCCAAATCCTATTCTTCTGGCAACAGAAAAGGCTTCCTGTCCGGCTTGCTAGATAATATCAAACAGGAATTAGCCAAAAACAAAGAAATGAAAGAAAGTATAAAAAAATTCCGAGACGAGGCCAAGAAGCTGGAAGAGTCAGACGCGCTCCAGGAAGCCCGAAGGAAATATGTGAGTGCCTTTACTCTGTGTCTGTCTCGGCCGACACACTTGTGTCCAGAGCCAGGATTTCTCTGGCCCCTGGACAGCAGCCAAGCTCAGGGCCAGGGTGGCTGGGGGCGGGGTGGCCTGTATGGAGCTGAGCTCACTGCACTAAGGGAACAGAAGGGGCTCCCAGTCCTGTGATGAGACCAGCAGCATTGGCTTCTCCTGGGAGTTTGTGAGCAATGCAGGGTCTCAGGCCCCTCCTGACCTCCTTGATCAGAGTCTGTGTCTTTTTCTTTTTTAATGAATTGATATTTTTTGGTGAGAATATACACAACAAAACATATACCAGTTCAGCAATTTCTACGTATACAATTCAGTGACATTGGTTACGTTCTTCAAGTTGTGCCACCTTTGTCAACCTCTTCCAAGCTATTTCACCATCGTCAACACAGACTCACTGCCTCCTAAGTTTCCCATCTGTCCTTTCGAGTTGTGTTGTCAGTTTGTTCACATATAGATAATTCTTTAAAAGACTATGATGTTTAGTTCAGACGTTCATTTGTAGTTAAGCTAAACCATTATTTGGTTCAAAGATGACTTCAGGGGATAGTTTCGGTTCAAGTTTTAAAGATTTTCTCAAGGTAATAGTTTTGGGGAGTCATTTAGCTTCAGTGGTTCCAGAAAGACTAGATTCCATGAGAATTTGAATATTGATCTTGGTGTTTCTGTTCTACCTCCTAGTTCACTGTGTAGTGCCTGGGGTCTTAAAAGCTTGTGAGCAGCCATCTAAGGTACAACAATTGGTCTGTGTTTCCTGGGAAAACCAGAGAAAGAAGGAGAGTGAGGAATCGGTGGAGGAAATGGAATGTGTGTCCAGTCACCTCCATAAACAATTCCCTCCTTTGCCATGAGACCAGAAGAACTGGATGGCTACCATTACTAAACAATTAGATCAAGAATGCTATAGAAGAATCCTGATCAAAAGGGGGAAAATGTGGAACAATTTCAGAATGTGCACCTTCACAGGCCCTCCAGGTGATACACTGCACACTGGATTTGAGCCATGCTGCTCCTGGTTGCCTCCTGGCTGAGGCTCTGAACGAAAAGGGGTAGCAAGGGGGCTATGGTACACTGATTTCATCATTGCTGGTGCAGTGATTTCATGACCGCTACATTCTCTTACTGGGCAGCCATCAAGCTCTAGCCGCTATCATTGGGCTCCATGTCCTTTAGTTGGACTCTGTGTAAGGACCCAGCGAGGCAGGTGCAGTATCCCCCTCCCACCGATGAGCGCCCAGCCACAGAGCTGCTGGCACTTGCCCAGGCCCTGTGGGGTTTTGTTCTGTTGGCCCCCAGCTAGGACATGGGCCAGCCCAGTGAGCGTCCCCTGGGTTCTGTCATTCGGACTAGCTAACTGAGGGCTTGCCTGCAGGGGAGTCCACGAGGTGGAAGATGGCCTTCCCTTACTTTCAGGAAGTGGGCAGAGGGGTTGTTTGTAGGCTGTCTTAGTTCCCTAGTGCTGCTGTAACAGAAATACCACAAGTGGATGGCTTTAATGAACACACGTTTTTCTCATAGTTCAGGAGGCCAGAAATCCAGATTCAGGGTGTGACTGTGGGGGAGCTCTCTGTTGGCTCTGGGGGAAGATTCTTGTCTCTTGCAGCTTCTCCTCTGTTTCTTGGTGATCTGCATGTGACAGCTTTCCTCCCTCTGTCCTTGCTTCACTGTGTCCAATCTGTGCTTTTCTGTCTCAAAAGTGATTATTTAGGACACACTCTGTGCCAATAGGGCCTTGTTAACAAAGAAAACTCTGTTCCCAAGTGGGATTACGTCCACAGGTACAGGAGTTAGGGTTCCAACACATTTGGGGAGACATAATTCCATCCATAACTAGCAATGGCGGCAGAGGGAATGCAGGCCCGAGCTGCGGTGGCTGGAGGCTGGGCTGGGGCAGAGAGGGGAGAGTGGTGTGTGATGCTGAGAGCAGCGCCCCCTGAAGTACACTGCTGACAGGTGGGGTGGGACAGGATCACCCCTCCACCCACAGGGAGAGACCCGCCGCTGGGGACTACTGTGCCCAGGAGGGCTCTGAGCTGCCCCACGTTGCTTGGTAAGGGGCTGTCGGCTGCTGAGACTCCCAGGCCGAGCTGTCTTCTGTCTAGAACCTCCCGACCACTGAGGAGTGCTGGCCGGGGTGGGAGATCTGGGGAGGAAGGAGCTGGTGAGCAAACGCCTCTGTGACCCTGGTGGTGAGATCATTTAAAGCCTGGATTGTAACAAAAAGAAACAATGTGCTTTCCCTAGAAAACCATCGAATCTGAGACCGTCAGGACCAGTGAAGTTATCAGGAAGAAGCTCGGGGAACTCACAGGCACAGTGAAGGAGGTGAGGGTGGGGGACCCGCAGCGAAGGAGGTGAGGGTGGGGGGCTCACAGGCAGTGAAGGAGGTGAGGGTGAGGGGCTCACAGGCAG